AGAGCGGTGGGACCTGGGACATCACAGAGTGAGAGTGCTATTTCAGAAGCTCTCGGTCAGCAGAGGGTCCTTGCGGAGAAATAAACTGGCTCTTTAGACTGCCCTCCTGCCTTGGGTGCTCTTGAGATCAAGTGGATGAAAGGGGGGATCTTAGTCTCAGAAGTGGCTTTCCCTGCTTTTCTGCTCTGTGTTGTGCAGTAACAATTTTCAGCTGAGCCTGTAGGTAACAGGGCTTAAATCTTGCCCTGCATCGTCCTGTAGAGTAAAGGCTGTCTGACCTGCCAGGAAAAAGAACCCGCAAGCTTGTCCGCGTGCAGCAGTCCGACGGAAGGGAGGCGGTTGTGACAAGTCGTTTGGTGGTCTTCGGGACTGGTGGTCTTTGGGATCGTATCTGTCAGTCTTCTGTGCGGAGAACGGGGGGGCTGTGAATGGGAACCGAGGGGGGTCCGTGCAGTCGGGGCTGGCAGGCAAGGTGCGAAAGGCTTGCCCGAGTGCTCTGCCCTGGCCACGTGGCTGGTCTCCCTTTCTTTGGAAAAGATGAGTCATGTGAAATGATAGCTCTGCTTCTTTCCCAGCTTCCTACTCGCTTCCTGACGTGGACTTACTTTCCCTGCTATCTTTCTTCCGACAAGCACCGACCGCAGCAGAGGTGTGGTCAGGCAGGCGTGGGGCGTGATGCAATAGCTCTGCCCAGTCTGCCCGTTTCACTGCCCTTCTCTCCCCACTGGGCAGAGCAGGAGGTGCTGAGGAGGAGGGACGTCTACTTAGAAAACAAAGGTGTGATGTGAGCCGACGGGCGTTACGTGTGATGGACGGCCGCGGCCGCGCACGGCAGGAGAGCCCAGGCCGGCGCACGTGAGCTCTGGTTGCAAGGCAGGTTGGCTCTCGCTGCTCGGCTTGGGGGCTCTCGCAGAACAGCCTGTGTCGGCCTGACCGTGGGACCTCTCACCCACCTTTCCCAAACGCTGGGTTAACCCGTCGGGCTCATGCTCATATGTTGGGTCTGCGCAGGTAGCCTGTGGCTACCTTCTGCCATCTTCTGCGATAACTTCGGCGCTCGTTTCTGGCAGTGCTACAGACCATTCCGTGCCCAGCCCTCGGTGCACGTCGCTCAATGTTTAAGATGGGTCTGGACGGTAAAAATCTTTCCCTGGTCTGCGTGGTCCTTTGTGTCTCCCTTTCACGTCGAGTTAGAGGGGGATTGCCGGTCATTCCTAGCTAACTGGGTTAACTAACTCTGTGTCACGGGGCCCTCGTTAGCTGCTCTTCAGCTTTTCACTTCCTCTCTCCTTCTCCTGTAATCCGGTTGTCACACAGGACCTGTTCTGCCAGGTCACTGGTGACAGCTGTTGGCAAACCCAGCCACAGCCTCGTCGTTAGCACAGCCTTTCCCAGTGGGAAGATGGGTCCAAATCGATCCTTGGAGCCTCTCTCCATTCTTGCTGTGACCCAGTTAGGATACGTGGTGACACATCTTTGTTTCCCCCTCAGGCTTTCTCGTCTGCCCATGAACTACTCTGGCCGGTTCCTGTTCATCCAGCAGAACTTTTCCTGGACTCCCCGGAGAGACTCAGCCCAGAGGCACATGCAGCCCGTCCACGCTTTAGCTCCCACTCCCACACCCTTGGCCTTTCCGCTCCTCTGCTCCGCTTGGCAGGAGCGTCACAGCAGGGGACCCCATCCTCTCACCCCACCTTTTGTAACCGATGGCCTGTGTATTTGGCCACTCCAGTGACCGAAAGGCGTCAGAGTCCAGCCCTGCCCTGCTCGCTGCCAGCCCCCCTGCACCTGAGCAGCCACGGCAGCTGAAGGTGCATCTTTCCTCAGCAGCACTTGGGTCCACGGCCCGTTACTGCCTTTGCAGAAGTTTAGAATTGTAGTAACAGCAACGGCCTGGGGTTTATCGTGCCTTTAGCTATTTGGATCAGGCAAACCTACGAGGAATAGTCCCCTTTCAGGCCTGTACAGGATTCAGTTGTTTTTTTCTATCTATCTTAACTTTTAGCTGACTGTCTTGATTTGGCTTGGGCTTTCTCCACCTATCCTGTTGCTCATCTTACTCCCAGCCCATAACAGCCCTTCCAGACCCTGTGTTTTTCTCACTCCCGCACAGGATTGAGCAACTGCAAAGCTTGGGGCCGCATACCAGCCTGCCACCTCAACAGCTTGCGCTGGCTGGACATAGATTGCCAAGTCCAGCAACCACGCAGCCGGGTCCTGATGACACACCCCAAATAATTTGTCTCGCAGAGTGAACCTCCCTCATTCTTTCCACTGTTTTGTGCTGGCACCACCTCCATCCCGCTGGTGCAGCTCTTCCTTGCCCGCACCGCCCGCTGCCAGTCACCTTTGGCTGTAACTCTCCTTCCACTGGTGAGCACCTCCGGTGTGCCTCCGAGGTTGCCCTGCCCAAGCCTTCCAGGCTCCTGTCAGTGGAAGTTCTCCCATGCCCGTGTCAAAGTGCATCGTGGCAGAGTGCATGAAAGAGGTGAGGACAGGGACTAGAGACTGGAGAGACCCCCCTGATACCTCAGCCTGTCCTCGGGACCACCAGAGCGTCGCTGCGCAGTTCTGCCTGTGCTGGCAGCTCTCGGCAGGACCGAGCAACCGCAGCTCCCATCAGCTGTGGTGATGCCCCGTGCGACCTCTACCTATCCTTTTGAAACCTCCCCCACCCCAGACCTGTCCTGTCAGTAACCCTGCTGCGTGGTTCTTGCCCACAAGTCTGTATATTTTATCCAGAACCTGTTCCAGCCTCTTGGGATCCAGGCAAAGGACGGGTGATGCTTGCTTTCAAGCCTGGGGCTGTCTGACCTAGAAAGCAATGGCAACAACTCCTCCCTTGGTGCTTTGTGGGAGGACGGTGCTTTTTTGAAGTAAGGCTTACTGCTGTGATTTGTGCAAACGTTACTGGTGTTAATATTTCCCCTGGTCACACCACATCTGAACTTTAAGAGGGCATGAGAAGAAAAACCTTTCCAAAAGCAGCAGCCAGCCACGAAACTGCAAAGAGCTCAGAGTGGGGCTGGTCACAGCAACGTAAGTCGTCCACCGCTTTATCACTTCTCCAGGGTGAAACTGTTTCAGCATCCGTCGTGTGCCCCCTGTTACCAAACCTGAAATAACCACTGCCACCGCATCCCTGGTACTGCAGGGTTAAACCCAAACCTCGTTCTGTACGTTCTTATCCCTGGTCCACAGCACATGACATGATGCGTTTAAGCTGGGAGACTGACCTTTCTCTCTCCAGATGCTGTCCTGCCTGTTGCGTGCTTCATGGCCATGTCACTAGAGGTGCTTTGGCAATCTCAAGCCACCATGAGTCATGTGTCCCCCTCAGCGGGTTTCCTTGGAGTGCGTCAGCCGGTCATGTCACAAGCTTGCCGAGAGCGGGAGGAAGCCTCCATGACGGTCTTGGGTTACATCACAGGGACAGAGGATGTTTGGACAACTGATCCTAGTCCCCGCTGAGGCAAGCCTTGGATTGCACAGTGCGTCTGGCACCTCATCTCGGGGCTGCTCGGGAGAAGGCAGGTATGGAGCACAGGGAGGAGAGAGCGGAGGTTTAATGGGCTGGAAAGACTTACAAATCACGCACTCGTTGCAAATCTGGGCTGGGTCAGTAGCAGTCATCCTTTGTGTTTATGACGAAGAAAGGATGGATGGATGGATGGATGGATGGATGGATGGACAGACGGACGGATGGATGGATGGACCAATGAACAGATTGAAGGAGAGAAAGGATGCATGGAAGGAAGGGTGGATGGAAGGTGTTCCATTAGTAAATGTAGAAGTTTGGTCTTGCACAAATAGTCATTATTTTAATAAAGCTGGTGCCAAACCTAAATTGCTCCAACACTCCCATTATATAATTCCATCCTGTATGATTAAAAGCTTTCCCAGCAAACTGGGAGATTAAAACAACTGATCAAAAAATATTGAGAAATCTCTCTGCCCTACCCTGATGGATGCCAGCCTGATCCCTCTGACCCAGTCACCAGAGGGCCT